CTCTAAGCGCCATGAGCACCGAAAGGTGGACCTGTGCGCTATACAAGTAGCCACTCTTATTATTATTAGTATTATTATTACACAGATAGGCATACTAGGTCGGATAAAAAAGAGCAAACTTTGCTGTAACTTCTTCCGTTGTAATTCCACCTATGCGGGATATGGTGTATTCTGTTTTGTGTAATTGTATACTGCTATTTAAAAAAAAACCCGAATAAGAATTCTAGTTTGGGGTAAATGATATGAGGGCCGAAGTGGGACAACCATTCACACCCCTATACCTCCGGACAGCGATCTAACTTACACCCATATAGTTGACCGCCTAGGACGACTAACCAGGCCTGGATAGATAACATTTCGGATAAGTGCATGGTGGTCAAATTATCCGACAAGATTGTTCGAAGAGGTAGTCGTAGAGGGTAGAGGGTAGAGGGTGATAGTACATGGGGTGACATCGTTCTGATATGTACAAAGGCCAATGCGAATCCACATAGGATAGAAATCGCCCCCCCCCCTTTTTGTGATCGAACGAATTAATTCTGCATTATACAAATATGCACGTTAATGAGTGTTACCTGTTCGCGATCGGGCGTGTCTTTACTTTGACGTAAGTTTCAGAAAACAAAAGTTAGGTGCTTAGCTACAATATATAGCCCCAAAGCTGGGTCAAGGACCCTTTAGGGGGTGGGGGTGGGGGGGGGGGGGTACTAGCGTGAAATTCTCATACGAGCAAACTCAAACACACGGGGGAGGAGGGGTATGTGCCCCATCGATCCGCTACGGTTAATTATTATTATTATTATTACTGGTGTGTATTTGGAGCAAGAAGGACGCTACCTTAGTAAAGTGCCCTTCTAGGTTCAAACAGACCTATGTTGGATTCGCACATCTTAATCCCATGTTTAATACAACGTTTATTATGAATATATATATATATAGAGAGAGAGAGAGAGAGTTCAGTTCAGTTAAGTTTATTGAATTACATCTCTAAAACATTTTTACAAAGATAAAATCATGCAATTTCATGTAAAATATAATACATAAATTGGGATAACAAATACATGTTTTGTCTGGACAGCTTCCTATCAAATTAGATTTAATATTATACATGTATATAGTAAGAAAACTAGTAGCAAGTAAAGTTTCGGATAGTATCATTCAGAAATTGCATAACAACCGGCACAAGCCCTGTACACGAATTACAACATGATCGGATGTAAAAGTCAGAGAAAGACAGAGGAGAAATGTGAGGGGAATAAAAAAGAAAGAGAGAGAGCGCGCGGCGGAGATGAAAAGCTGGGTAAAAACATTCAGTCAGAATATGCGCAATCACGAAACTTTTGAGATTACATAGTAAAACTGTCGTAAAATGAGATTGAAGTTATATTAGTTGGAGGCTAGGTCCAAATTCCAGGTGCATGATGTCTGCAAGAATATGATGCAAAATAGATTTACATTGGATATTCACCATTATAATGTGCAGACTTATGCACAAAACTCCAATTGCAGTATGATATCATATAAAATATTTACACGTATGCATATGAAATTCACCATTATAATGTACTGACTTATGCAAAGTACTCCAATTGCAGTATGATATCATGAAAAAATATATACATGTATGCAGATTAAATTCACCATTATAATGTGCAGACTTATGCACAATACTCCAATCCCATTATGATATCATATTCAATCTATATGCATTGGATATTCACCATTATAATGTGCAGACTTATGCACAGTACTCCAATTGCAGTATAATATCATATAAAATATATACATGTAGGCATAGGAAATTCACCATTATAATGTGCAGACTTATGCACAAAACTCCAATTGCAGTATGATATCATATAAAATATAAACATGTATACATAGAAAATTTACCATTTTAATGTGCAGACTTATCCCCAAAACTTCAATCGCAGTATAATATCATATAAAATATAAACATGTATGCATAGGAATGCACACTTAAAATGTGCAGACTTATGCACAGGACTCCAATCGCAGTATGATTTCATTAACAAATATATACATGTATGCAGATTAAATTCACCATTATAATGTGCAGACTTATGCACAATACTCCAATCCCATTATGATATCATATGCAATCTATATGCATTGGATATTCACCATTATAATGTGCAGACTTATGCACAGTACTCCAATTGCAGTATAATATCATATAAAATATATAAATGTAGGCATAGGAAATTCACCATTATAATGTGCAGACTTATGCACAAAACTCCAATTCGTCGCTGTTTTCACGAAGCGACGGTAGTGAAAAAAAATTGCATTCACTTTGCATTACGATTTTCCTCACTACCGTCACTTCGTGAAAACAAGGACGAATTGTAGTATGATATCATATAAAATATAAACATGTATACATAGGAAATTTACCATTTTAATGTGCAGACTTATCCCCAAAACTTCAATCGCAGTATAATATCATATAAAATATATACATGTATGCATAGGAATGCACACTTAAAATGTGCAGACTTATGCACAAAACTCCAATTGCAGTATGATATCATATAAAATATATAAATGTAGGCATAGGAAATTCACCATTATAATGTGCAGACTTATGCACAAAACTCCAATTGCAGTATGATATCATATAAAATATAAACATGTATACATAGGAAATTCACGATTATAATGTGCAGACTTATGCACAAATCTCAAATCGCAGTATAATATCATATACAATTTAAAAATGTATGCATAGGAAATTCACCATTATAATGAGCAGACTTAAGCACCAAACTGTAATCGCAGCAGATATCATATAAAATATATACATGTAGGCTATGTATAGGACATTCACCATTATAATGTGCAGACTTATGCACAAATCTCCAATCGCAGCAGATATCATATAAAATATATACATGTAGGCTAAACATGTATAGGACATTCACCATTATAATGTGCAGACTTATGCACAAATCTACAATCGCAGCAGATATCATATAGAATATATACATGTAGGCTATGTATAGGACATTCACCATTATATTGTGCAGACTTATGCATGAATCTCCAATCGCAGCAGATATCATATAGAATATATACATGTAGGCTATGTATAGGACATTCACCATTATAATGTGCAGACTTATGCACAAATCTCCAAACGCAGCAGATATCATATAAATATATATACATGTATGTATAGGAAATTCACCATTGTGCAGACTTATGCACAAAACTCAAATTGCAGCATAATATCATATACAATATATACATGTATGCATAGGAAATTCACCATTGTGCAGACTTATGTACAAAACTCCAATCGCAATATGATATCATATAAAATCTGTATTTACCATTATAATTTGCAGACTTATGCATAAAGCTGCAATTGCAGTATGATATCATATAAAATCTATATTTACCATTATAATGTGCACACTTAAGCACAAAACTGCAATCGCAGTAGATATCATATAAAATATATTCATGTAGCCTATGTATAGGACATTCACCATTATAATGTGCAGACTTATGCACGATACTCCAATCTCATTATGATATCAAATAAAATCTATATGCATTGGATATTCACCATTATAATGTGCGGACTTATGCACAAAACTCCATTGCAGAATGATATCATATAACATATTTACATGTACGCTATGTTTAGGACATTTACCATCAAAATGTGCAGACTTATGAACAAAACTCCAATCGCAGCAGATATCATATAACATATATTCATGTAGGCTATGTATAGGACATTCACCATTATAATGAGCAGACAGAAGCACAAAACTGCAATTGCAATATGATATCATATAAAATCTATATTTACCATTATAATGTGCAGACTTATGCACAAAACTCCAATTGCAGAATGATATCATATAAAATATATACATGTACGCTATGTATAGGACATTCACCATTAAAATGTGCAGACTTATGCAGAAAAACTCCAATCGCAGTATGATATCATAAAAAATATATACATGTATGCATAGGAAAAAAATCATCATTATAATGTGCAGACTTATGCACAATACTCCAATCTCATTATGATATCAAATAAAATCTATATGCATTGGATATTCACCATTATGATGTGCAGACGTATGCACACAAATCCTATCTCAGTATAATAATTCATAACAATATATATGCAATGGATATTCATCAATATGTTGTGCACATTTAAGCACAAAAAAAAATCCAATCTCAGAATGATATCATATTAAAATGTTATGCATTGGAAATTCGCCATTATAATGTGCAGACTTATGCCCAACAAATCTTTATTTCATTGTGATATTATATGAAATATATATGCGATGGACATTCACCACTATGATGTGCAGACTTATGCACAAAAATCTAATAAACTCAACGTTGAGATGTTGTATTATACGAGACCTAATTACATTAGAATTTTAACATGTGCAGATCTATGAACGAAAGTATAAACTGTACGTCATGATATGATGATATAATTAATCTAAATGCAATGGTCGTTATTCATATGATAGTCAACGTTTACTATAATTCGGCTTATGTTTGAGTAATCTGATATGTGTATTACCAGCAGTGGTATTGTAACCCTACTTTGTTTCAAAAAAGTTGAAAATATGCTTGATAGCTTCAAACATTAAATGTGCAATTTATTTTTTATTTTGACTCTGCATTTCAGCCCCTTAAGTTTCTATTGTTTATGCTCTACACAGTATCTTACACTGTTCATCGTGCACTCGAACGTTTAAGTTTATAATCAATGGTGATAACCGTGCTGATAAAGAACATTTGAAAAGAATTAGTGAATAGTGTATATCATCTGTATTTCATGTTACTTCGTATTCAACATAAAACCTTTTAATTTATTCCACTTAAAAATCGAAATACATAATATTATGAATATATACAAATTCGTAAAAAAAAAAGATCTTTTTACAATTCTTAACTTTAAGTATTTAATAAGACCCATTAATTATTATTACTCCATTACATAAACTTGTAAAACTCGTACATGTGATTAAAACATAAAAACGTGGAATTAATGCATGTCGCCATGTGCATAGTATAGTTGAAGTATTTTGGGTTTATGATTATCTGATGGTCAGTAGTTATTTAATGTATCAATACCGATGATTATCTGATGGTCAGTAGTTTTTAGATGTATATCGGTTTCCTAACACTTCATGACAGCCTTCGAAGTACTTGATATCTTTTTTCCTATTTCTTAACTATAGTGAAATAGTAAGCTTTCGCTATGCATCATTTAGGTAAAAAGCTTTCAAGGATTCTTTCACATCAGATCTATTTCATATATTGCTTCCATATACCACCTAAATGAACACTACCAAAAATCCGCTTCAGGTCGGTGAAGCTGCCACGCGACTTGTTTTTCCATATAGAAAGGCACTCTCTCATCGCTCCCTTATAGTCTTTACCGTGCTGCTTGAGAATACATGATGCCTCATTGTACTCAATACCGAGTTTGTCGGGCAGGTGAAGGTATTTATCGGGAGGGATGTGGGCTGCAAGAGTATTCAGTTTTCCATCTGATACCGTGTCACTAAAATGATTTAAACAATAAGGACATATTATATAAAGTATTTTTCAACTCAATATGAATTTGAGTCTGTCGTATTGTTACAATTTTCATAAGCAGCTCTCCATTAATTTAGGTAAAAGTATTCTGATTTTTTTTTTAAAGCTAAAACTAAGAGGTTGATTTGCCATGGGAGATTTTGTCAATTTATATTTCAATTCTCTTCACGTTTTTGGTAGATACCCCTTTGTAAGCTCTCAATTCCTTTGGAGCATTCATTCTTCAGGAATTACGATATCTCATGCTTCCTCGCTACACCTTCGATCCTCTCTTTGACTATAGAAGCATAATTTTTAAAAGGTATTTATTTATCTATACATTACATTTCATTATAATTATATTTTTTTAAATTTTTTTTAAATTATTTTTTTATCATTATTATTTTAATTCATCTATCATAATTATTTAAAAGAAAACCTAATATAAAGGTGGACTTTTTACATAATGGTGGGTATTGAGTACTCAATAATGTCAAATACGGTCTGGAAAATGAACAATGTAATTTCGACAAATTATTACAAATCTTATTCTATTCTATGTTTATTTCCTCTGTTTCACAAGGGGGAAATACTCATACACCTTTCAATACAAATCTAGAATTGTAGTCTTACTGGACGTTGATAAATACATTGCAAAACCATTGTACCAAAACGCAAACAATTCCTAGTTTATACACTTTTGATCTACGCTGAATAATTTTACCGATGGAATATTATTCCCGAAGTTTTGGCATATCCAATGATTGAGATCTTGATCAAGAATGATTAAAAAGCCATTACTTAGTCATTTAGCGATTAGAAAAGAATTCTAACCTGTCTCTGGAAGTCGAAACTTCACCGGCTGTTGCCGATGCATCTTGAAAAGAAATGGCGACTGAATCCGATGTAGATGGCGACGGACTCGGGGATGTGGAAACTGTGTCTCCTAGTGATGTCTCGGTTATTCCTGATTGTAAGAGGAGGAATTTGGGTTCACTTCGTTAGAATATTTATTCGTAATGTTCATGTTATTGTTTGTTTAATCATGTTGCATATGTATTGAATTACGATTTGACCACACAAAATAATAATCATTTTGTCATGCTTCCACGTTACACCTTCGATCCCCTCTTTGACTATTAGAAGCCTTGTTAAGCATTATTTTTCAAAGGGAATTATTTATCTATACATTACATTTTATTATAATTATATATTTTTTAAAAATTATTTGTTAATATTTATTTTTCATTATTTTTTAAATTTATTTATCATAATTATTTAAAAGAAAACCTAATATAAAGGTGGACTTTTACATAATGATGGGTATTGAGTACTCAACAAAATAATAATCATTTTGTCATTGATTAAATCATGGCACCTCATCTCATTATTATCAACACTTGTTTTTGTTATCTGCTAATGATCAAAATTCAATACATGTTGGTGAGATTAAGTTTGAATTTTACAAATTTGTATTGATTAAAGTAAGCAAAATCCTTACATCTCAATTTGGGCTTCTGTCTTAAAATTGCGAGGGGGGCGGAAATAATAGGACAAAATAGAGATTAAACACTGAGTACAAAGCACACTGTACGTTGTGTGTTTTTATCTTAAAGAGGAAATTCCGGGTTTTGGTAAAGTCCATGTCTGCCCATGACACTCGTAATTTTCGTCCATGACAAGGAGATTCCTACCTCTCACAAAAGTTGGAGCTTGGTTTAAAACTCGATTGATCTGACAAAGATATCAACTTCCTTCACTAATATTGCCAGTTGAAAGTAAATTAATTTAGATTTTAAAAAAAGAACCGAAGTCAAGATTTCCATTTCTAGTTCATCCGACAGGGGCAATGGAAATTATTTTGTTTCTATTTTAGGAGGTAGCCATGATAATCAAATGCTATTACATTTTTATATCTCGAGTTATAACTTTTATTAAAAACGGCTCACTTAAATGCATTGGTTATCAAATACAAAATAATAATTTAGCATGGTTAATTTAGTTACAGTTGCGGCTTATAGTCAAAGTGAAGTACAGAGCCTCCTTCACTAGAATCAAACAAAACAAATAAACAAAATTATTTTAGAACCCACCACGAGAAGCAAGGAAATGTGTTCTGAACTTTATATCCATCGAACACTTTGACTGTTTTACTTTCAGCTTCACCAGCAGGTCATCGGCTTTCTCGTTGAAATCCAATTCGAAGTATAAAGTATGATCAGTATTTCGGAAGGAGCTTGCATCGACATTCTGTCATTGGATATTATTAAGCGATAATATTAATCAAATTGGCAGGAAAAAATGATCGAATGTAATATAAATTTATTTATTTCTAGATGATAACACATGAATTACATGAGATGAACAAGTAAAGATAATTTTAACTTTATTTTCATATAAAATACATGATATTGGTATTAGGGTAGGATTATAGATAATTTACAGATGGGGTTACAGCTATGTGCTTGTCTTTGAGGAAGATTCTGAGCCGCCGCACCAAGTGTGATAAATGTTTGCCTCCCGTGCAGAAGAAAACGATCAAATAGCTCTCCATTAATAACGAAGATACATGTACACTTTTTGCCTTTTTTTTCGGGGGGGGGGGGGAGGGGTAATGGTCCAATTTTCGAGAAAATATTTAGCGGCGACTCAGCCAGCTGGTGAAAAGGGCGGGGGGGGGGGGGTAAGAGCACTAATTTAGATTTTAGATTTTGTTGTTGTTGTTGTTTTGGGAGGCCACGGCCAGCTCCCCCCATAGATCCGCGCCTTTCTTTACATTCTTATTTTTCCTTTTTATTTCTCCCTTGCCTCTCCCTTGCCTCTCCCTTGCCTCTTCTCTTTCCAATTGCCTTCTCTACCTCCCACTACCTAATTATTTATCTTTCCATCTTTTTTCCCTCTCCTTCCTTCTCCATCTCTTCCCTTTTTCCCTCTCATCAGTTTCATTTTCTTTCAGTGGGTGAAATAAGTTTGTTTCAAAATATTTGTATCCTTGTTTTGTAAAACCACGGACTTCCTGCAATTTTTGTAACTTGTTATTATTGCTACTGTAAAGTTAATATTTCACAATTTCAATTTCAATTTATTTGCTCATAAAAATCCAGAAAACACATGCAAACATTCATAAATCAACATGATACAAAGGATAAAATTCACAAGAAAAATTAATAACAAAGTATACATTTGGATTGAGTATGAGAGGGACAGCAAGAAAGGAACAAGCCTTGTGATTAGCTGACCCTGTAACATAATACATTAAGGACGCTACAAAAAATAACAAATCACTTACAACAACATAAAGGGGGGGGGGGGAGTATACCTATATATTTAAACAAACAAACTTGGTGAATACCTGTCTAAAATAAAGTGCTTAGATTTTGACTTAAAAACATTTAACGAAACTGCTTGTTTAATATCTGAAGAAAGAGAGTTCCAGATTTGGGGTCCTTGAAATAATATTGAGTTTTTAAAAGATGAGAGCCTCGGTTTGGGTAAATGAAAATCATTAGCATTTCTTGTATTGTAACCATGATATTCATTATTGAACTGAAAGAATGTTTTAATATAGTCTGGCAAGAGGTGATTGTTACATAAATACATAAATATAAGTACCTGAAATACATATATATCATGAAATTTCAAAACACCTGATTCAATAAATAAAGGGTTGGTATGGGCAAGGTAAGGTGCATGAGACATATTTCGTATTGCACGTTTTTGTAAAATAAACAATCTATCAATGTGATTATTACTTGCATTACCCCAGACAAGAATACCATAATTAAGGTACGGATATACAATTGCATAATAAATCATTTTAAAAATCTCCTTTGGAAATGATCTTAAACAATACATTATTCCTATATTTTTTGCCAGCTTATTGCACAGACTATCAATGTGATTTTTCCATGTAAGTTTATGATCTATTGTAATGCCTAAAAATTTTACTGACGTTACACACTTAATATCTGTATTGCACACTCTAATTGAAAGATAATCTGGTATCAATAAATTACTAAAAATAATATAACTGGTTTTTGCTACATTGATTATCATTTTATTTGCGTAAAACCACTCAGATATTAATTCAAGTTCAGAATTGAATAGATTATGTAAGTCCGGACAGTTAGGATGGGATAAAAACAGACTGGTGTCGTCAGCAAACATAATACAATGTAATAATTTAGATACTTTACTAAGGTCATTTATAAATAAAAGAAACAACAGTGGTCCTAAGATAGAACCCTGTGGTACCCCACATGAGATAGTCCCTTGCTGTGATTTGCATTTAGAAATTTCAACATATTGTTTTCTATTTGATAAATAACTTTCAAATAATTTAAGTACAATACCTCTTATGCCATATAATTCAAGTTTGTGTAATAAAATAGCGTGATCTACTGTATCAAAAGCCTTCTTCAAATCTAAAAACATTGCAATCATATATTTCTTGTTATCAAGAGCATTAACAACAGTGTGAACAAAATCAATAAGAGCCGATGACGTCGAATGTCCAGGACGGAAACCATATTGGTTCAAAGATAATATATTGTACTTGCTTATAAAATCAAATAATCTATTGTACATACATTTTTCTAAAACTTTAGAGAAAATTGGCAAGACTGATATGGGTCTGTAATTTGCAACATTTTCACTTGAACTATTTTTATATACAGGAACCACACGAGCAATCTTTAATTCATCAGGAAATATACCTAAATCTAAGCATTGATTGAATATTGCACAGATGGGTTGACATAAAATATGTATAGATTTCTTTATAACCTTGATACTTATATCATCGTACCCAGGACTGCAATCTCTCTTTATATTAGACACAATATCAATGATCTCGGAACATGTGATTGGTTTAAAATAACACGTACTAGAATTCCTATCCAAATAACGACAAGGATTCAAATTTAAATTATTGCCCTGATCAACAGGATATTTCAATTCAGATACAATATTAATAAAATATTCATTAAATACATTACACATTTTGGAGGTATCATGTAACACCTGATCATTAGATATCAAAAAATTAATACCGCACTTTTTATTTACACGACCCATTGCACAATTAACTATGTTCCAAGTCTTTTTCATATTCCCTTTGGCTGTTGCAAAATTTTCCATGAAATAGTGTTTTTTAGCTTGTTTAATCATATTATTGACTTTATTCCGACATTTTCTGTACACTTCTTTTCGATACGGTGTTGGGTTTCTCAGATAAAGTCGATATGAACGACATTTTTTCTTTGACAACTTACGAATATCAGGATTGATCAATGGTTTATTTTTTTGGGTGTTTTTTTCAAACATTCTAAAGGAAAACACAGATTATATACATTTAAAAACCTCTCTAAAAATTGCACATAATTTACATTTGGATTGTTATTATGGCAAGACCATTGAACCATCTGAAGGGATCTTAAAAAACAATTTATACTTTTATCATTGATTATTCTTAATGGCTTATTCAAATTTTGCTGAGATTGAATATCATTCCAGCTAATACAATATATAGGTAAATGATCGCTGATGTCTGTTATAAATATTCCTGATTCAACATTGTCTACATTATTAGTAATTACATTATCAATCAAAGAAATTGTGTCGTCAGTGATTCTGGTAGGATGGTCTATCAACGGATACATATGATGCGACAATAGTAAATTGATGAAATTATCAACATGTTGCACTTTACCTACATTCAATAAATTGATATTGTAATCACCTAATAAATAAATAATTTTATTTTCCCTATTTACAACGCTAAAAACATTTGAGAATCTCTCTAAAAAATCATCAACAGACTGATCCGGAGGCCTATAAATTGACCCAACAATTATACCAGAATTCTTATTGACAATTTCCACAAATACACTTTCAATACAGCTATCGGTCTGTTCTAAGTCGGGACGTCTTATATATTGCACATTATTGTTTACAAAAATCCCAACTCCTCCACCCCTTCTTGACAAGCGGCTAACGCCTTCAAATTCATAACCTTCTATATTACACAAAGGGTGTATGGTGTGCTCCTGGAACCAGGTTTCTGTGACACATAGTACTGTAGGCTCTAGTTTCACACTGTTTAAGAATTCAGTGATTATTATCAAAACTATGAAGAAGACTTCTTGAATTCAAATGGATACATGAAAGTGGATTTGCAGATTTTGCTTTGTTTGTAATGTATGTATTAAACTCATCAGGTGTAAAATATTTCTTACAAGGACAAAAATCAATATTATCAAGCGATAAAAATTCATGCAAGGTGTTTAAGTCATGGTTGCATTTACTTAGGCATTCTCTCAAATTGTTACAGGTAGACATTTAACAACAACCAACCGTATTATGTATTCACTATATCTATCATGGTTGTAAAACAAAATCTGCAATTCGGTCCTGTGGCCGTGAATGATCACTTATCAATACAACCATTAGATTTCATAAATAACTTTCTCCCTAAAAATACTAAAAAGAAGCTGTTTAGTAGGCCTAGGCTCTGAAGGAGGATTGGTACTATGAGGTAGAATTGTGGAATGAGGTAAAATCAAATAGAACAAAAATATGGCTATTCACTGGGTCCTAAAGCAACTAAAACTATTACACCTCTGTCGAAAGATCAAATAACCAGATAACACTAGACTTCAGCATCTAGACAGAGAGAAGGGATGAAGTGTTGTCACCACGTAAACTCAAAAGTTTGATAAACATTTTATGGTCCATATGGCCATCAAGTGACTGAATTTACCACATTGTGGTTGATGGCGAAAAAGTGGCAAAGATTACCAAAACGTTGTGAGTAGGGTCAATAAGACCAATATTTTTGGAATCAAACCTCCCCCCCCCCCCTAGATGAGCAAAATACTATTTTTACCCCGGATAAATCTTTCCCACCATAAATTCTGAATAAATCCCCGGATCTCCTGGGGTATATAACGTTGCCACATCTGATATTTTTGTCAACTTTCACGTCATCACGTTAAATCGACCAAACACTGATGTCGCTAGATGGCCTTTTGTATTGTGAATCCACCGTATTATTGTATTAATATAATTTTGTATGATCTTTACGTTACTTTGTGGGTAAAGTGGTGGTTCTTGAAATGCTGGTTTCTCCAATATTACACGTACGGTCTGTCATATGAAAAGCAGTCTCAATGGTTATTTTACTAGGTAAGATATGAATCTATATTCACAGTAAGATATAAAGAATAAATAATTAAAAGAGTTACTATACTTAATACAGTCGTTACCATTTTAAACTCTAGGGGGAAAACTCTCACCTCTTTGAGTGGGTCATTATTACTTAGCTGGCAAGTGACTTCCATATCCTCATCTTTGACATTCATCTCATCGTCACGATCTTTAGCGGGTCGATACTCTGCTTCCTTTCCGATGCCATGAACAACTCTCTGTGACAAGGTAATGTGACAGCTCGATAATTACACAAGACTTCAGAATATTCAAATATTGCATGAATCACCGTTCACACTAACACAAAATATATCTTCAAAAAATAGTTTATAGTTTGATGGAGGGGGTAATATCAGTACTTTGAATCATGCATAAAGGTATCAACAGAGAACTTCCAGAAAAATGTATCATTGACCAGGCCCATATTGGATTCAATTAGGTTTAAAATCTCATGAATTTGCGGTTTCACCATGTGGGTAGTCGTGAAAAGGGTTGTTGGGTTTCAAATGGGATAGAATAGGAATGAGAGTTAGCGTAGTCCTTCGGAGTTCTACTTGATATGGTAAAGAGAGAGGTAGAGTAAATAAAAAAGAGGCACTCTTAAGTTAACAGAGTGCAGGAGAGGGTAGGTGAAGTAGGTCATGACTCTCCCTGCATTATTAACCTTGTCCAGTTCACCAGTCTTTTATGGACTACCCACATAGTGAAAGCGCAATGTTAATAAATATTACACAAGTGACAAATCACCATGCAAAACCCAATCTTTGAAGATCAATTGAACCTTTGAATAAATGTATTTCTTCAACATATGAGTTTGTAGTGATGTCAAATAGTACGTCTTTCATGTCAATAAAAATGAAGCTGATCCAATCAAAGCATCATTATTGTTTTAGTGAGCATTGCATGGTAATTATTGATGGATGTAGGGTTTTATGAAGAAAAAATATTGTTTGAGATTACTTCATACAGATATTTATGCCATACCCAAGAGTTTCCATGAGGTTTGTTGACCATACGAAACTCCAGTATCATTTCCCTACACTGTGGCATAATCTTTGGAAGAAAAGGCATGAAGGACATTCGTTTGTCTTTCATAGAGAACCAATTCTTAAAGAAGGCCAGAAATCCTTTTGAAAAGTGCTCCAGTAAAATCTCCACATGGTTATATGTAACCGTACAGGTTCTTGAAGTTTGTACAATGCGATCACATTCACCTTCTGTAAAAAAAGAAAAATGAAATGAACTGCACACAAAAATAGAATTACTAGTATAGTAGTACTTGTTGTTGTTGTTGTAGTTGTATGATAAATATTAGTTCTTTCTTCACAATCAGTTGAAACATTACCTGGTTTGGTAAGCTTTCACTCGCTGTGCTGAATGCTTTCTCAGACTTATGTCAAATCTGTCCACTGTTTGTGAGGAAAGAACTAATTTCAAGTTACATCACGAGTCATATGAACCTCTCTGGTAATTACAGTTGTAGTTGAAGTTTAATCGTAGTGATTTGCTACTCGCCACCCAGAAAACAATGGGTACCTGGCAATTGCTGGGTTAATAATTATTGCTGGGTCACTAAGAAGAAATAATATTAATGGTGATGATTCTTGTGGAGTAAACACAATCATTCTTCTTATCATTATCATTATTATCATCACTACTAATAGTATTAATACTAATGTTATTATTATCATTACTATTATTATCATTACTATTATCATCATCATTATTATCATTATTATTATCAGTATGATTATTATATCTATTATTACTACTACTACTACTACTACTAGTTCTATTACTACTACTACTAGTTCTACTACTACTACTACTACTATTGCATGTACTTTATTCATGCTGTTCTAGAGCCAAGCCGGATTATCACCTTTGTCTATCTATGATCCTTTAATTTACTCTGCTAAGATGGGTTCGGTTTGGTTTGATTAGAATGTGCATGTCTGTAAATGGTGAAGGCTTAAATGCTCTCCATTTAGTTTGAGCGAACTAGTATGTGATATTATAACAATCGAATATTCAAAATCAAACAACTTTTTCTTCTGATTTACACATGCCAATGAAATTTTGGTTTCTTGATCACATTGCTTTACCGTGATTCATGGAGTACAGAACGACCTGTACTTTTGACGGATCAATGAGGTTGGCACAATGGGGAATCTTCAATCTGACAGGTTTCTCTGATACAAACTGCAATCCTGGCGGAAGACACTGGAAGCCATAGGTAACAAGCGTCTCGTCGTGTCTCAGAGTGATTTCAGGTGGGATGTTTTTGAGAACATCTAAAGTTATCGTTTCGCAAGAACCCTCAGGCAGTGCACCGGGAGGGATGGAAAGAGTGAGTCCGTACGACGGAATATGTAGCTCTCCTCCGGTTTGGTCAAAGATCCCTTCAGAATGACGTTTGTCTATGGTTAAAATCATTTGTAAAATTATCAATACATGTATCAATTATGATGCGAGGAGATCTTACCTCGAGTACTATGAATATTAAATGCTTTGTGTATTTGAAATAATTTAAATAAACTATTTATTAGGACAATTACCCCCGAAAAATTACCCATAAGACAATCACCCCCCTATATGACAATTCCTAGGACTTTTGGAGGCCTACGTCTATTTAAATTATGTGAATCTGCCAGTTATATTGAGGAGCCTCGTTGTTTTATTATAATTTATTTGAGCCCATAAACAAAAAATCATGTTCCTTTTAAATAAGTACAGCACCAAGTTGGGTGAGGCTGGTATTGTTGCGTAGTACCTGGACATAAACCAGTAAGCCTACAAGTATAGTTGGAGTGAGTCCAAGGAGTGTACAGTGTCGGGATTATACATTATTGTAATACGTGCGTGATGATACAAATTTGTTTGGTGATCAAGTAGTAAGATATTTCAGATCATTCGAAATAACTAAAGTAATCTGGTTCATAAATATGGTGTTTTATCTTATTGTGGATATTTTCTCTTTGCTTTACTGGATCCTTCGGTATTTAATTTTTACCTCATATACATGGAATTTTCTCTATGAAAAGCTTGATACATTTTACGAACGAATCAGGTAAGACACCCTGTTTACTATTCTTAGTACATATCTTTTTATATATGAAACAACTCAGTCAAGATTCTAAAGGAGTTACTAATTTGGCTTAAAGTATTTTTGTCATGGAAACATGTTGTTTCGAAAATATGTATATATTCTTAAACTGTTGGTTAATTCATCGACCGGTAAAATGTTTGGTTTTCTCGTTGTATTTTCATACAGGGTGTTTTTTTGGTTTTCTTCCATGTTTATCGTTTTGACAGGAAGAATAAAGTATAATGAAACCTCATGCCACTGATCTTCTGGTCCAATTATTTCCTGTTTTGCAAACAAAAATAAAAGTTTTAAATGTTAGACCAAGCATCTTTTTAAAAGTTTTTATTATCTTAGTAACTGGAAGACAGTGTAGTCCGTTTAACAATAGGGACTTTTAGATTTACACGACGAGAGCGTGGACTGCCGCGTGTGACATTGTGTTAAGGCACTGGGCCCTGCCCGGCAGTGCCTTAAAAGGACGTCACATTACCTTAAAAGGATGTCACACGTGGCGGTCCACGTTCTCGTCGTGTAAATCTAAAAGTCTCTATTAGGGATAGCATGGGACCATTTCGGCTTTTGACAGATTAGCCGATTGAGTACGCTCATTCTGTACACTTTGGAGTCTACCCAGGTGATTGTATTGTCATTCTCATTTATTAATAAAACACACTACCCAGGTTCCTGATTGTAGGAGAAATGGGATGTTTTGATCATCACTAGAAAAGGAGAGGCCAATGTTAAAAACACTGTGCCTGCCTGGCTGCCTCTGCCTGAGAAATGATTGTGAATTATCAAAAGAAAGTAGAATAACTTCACTTGCCTTTACTGCGGTATTGATAAAACTTACTAGTCATTCTACATCACATTCACTTTCAATAACTTTGTTACTTCAAGTTGTCATATAGGGCATATATGGAGGAATTCTTTACAAAAAATACTTCACCCAAATATTTTCGAAACATGTCTAAATATGAGGTACCTGGGAGGCTGGGATATTCTAAAGAGTAATTTTACAATAAAAGTAGACACTACTATAGTAAGACAATGCATGCAAGTTCTTTTCTTTTCTCTTATTACATTTTTACTTCGTGTTATGGAGATTTTAAAACAAATGTAATTTGATTAATATTGGATTAATACAAACATGTAAACACGGTCCACTTACTGTACTTTGGAACGTGATTCACTGCTTTATCTGCCAAAACTATAAATACAATATGAAACATATAAAGGGGATACCTACCTTCATATTCATGTTGCTCGTCGATGCTCAGAACTCTAAAAATAAACACCAAAATGAATGGTAAAATTTGAGCAATATTCAGGTGATTGTTTGCAATGAATGTATCCGACCTTTCACGAATAAGGGGCCATCACCTTAAGAAACAAGGGGCTTTAATCATAATTTTGTTTGGAAAGATTTGAATAGCTTATCCGGGGAAGAACTTTGCGCTCATTCGAAAAAAAGTCTTATTGACCCTTGTTATGACATGTTGTTAATTTTGGCCTAAACTGACTATTTTGGTCAATCATTTTTTTTCTAGCATCAACGCACAATTTTACTTAGAATAAGCCTATCCAAACTCCTTTGGTGATATTAGCGAGTAGGAAAATTACCCCTGACCAAAGGTGATCAAATTTCACGAAAGTCTGTTTAACACCACGACCCGATGGAGGGAATGAAGTCGCTTTTTGTAAGGTTAAATTGAGTAGACCTAGTGGCTTTTGTAGAAGTGTCGTACTCGAGTGGTTTAAGCACTTGACTTGAAATTCAAATGGCGTGGTTCGATCCCCGACTCGGCACTAATGTCCTTTGGCAAGGCATTAATCTTCATTTGCCACACTCAGCACAGGTAATGTAAATGGGTACCTGGCAGGAATTTATTCCTTGGAATGCTGGAGCGCTGTATAGGGCAGCTAGGCTAAAGCCGAGGTAATAATAAATGCGCCTCGGAATAGAATTTCTAAATAGACGGCGCTATAGAAGTGCCTTTTATTATTATTATTATCCCAAAACGGTCGTCATCTAAAAATGGTGGACGTAATTTTTTCAAATTCTTTCAAACCGTGTTATATTCTATGTCTTACTTCCGTGAAGAAAGATTGGGGCATGCCCAAAATACATGAACATGTATCTATACAAATTTGCATATTACTCAAAATATACTTAGATGATGGTATTGTAAAACAGTTAATCAAAAAAGTGTACCCAATCTTGACACTTCAAGTTAACACATTTTGATGTAGTAATGTTAAATCCTAGAATAAATGTAATTAAAACCATAACTAAAACATGTTTAATCGGTAACATGATAACAGAAATAACTATAAAGATGGCACTGACAATGATATTAGAACACAAGCAAAAAAAAGGCTTAACTGGTAAACATATCAAACTTTAACAATATAGGTGAACGTGAATATTATTATCCACAGGGAAATGCGAACACAACTTAACATTCCCTTATGCTGTAACCAGTGGAGAACGGATTTAAAATAACCATAAACAACGATTATTTATGTCTTCAATACAATGTTTACTCAGATTAGCTACTGCCATATGCCGCGCATTTCGATTCGGGTAGCACATTGATGAATTCATATTGCACTTTTCGCTTTCAAACATATATATATATATATATATACTTATGTGTACATGTTTATACTCAAGCTAAAAGACTTATTTATTGCATTATATATAGTTTAGATATTTGACGCATCACAGAGATTTCATTTCATTGTCGTTTTGTAACATTATGATATTGGTCAACCTACAACAATCGCTTACATATAAAATTGGATTCTTTTCATACGATTGAATTGTCAAAGAAATTGAGCGCGATTGGAAATGTTATGTCGCATATAACTGTATATTGTGAGCTTTTTTAGATCTTCATATTAATTTGATTTGGTCTTGCTGAAAGCCAAATGGATCGTTGTTAGACATGGATGTATAGGATTACACAAACATGTGGTATGAAATTTGGTCCAGATATGTCAGAAATGTATTGTCATTTTGTTTATCTTTATCTGACTTATTGTATGTCCTTTCTCAGAACTCAACCATCAATCTAACATAGGGCACACGTCAGAGTTTTAACTTGTAAACCATCACGGAGATGGCGTCTCTCGGTTTGCCCTTTTCTGTATCTACCTTTGAGGTCCAACTAGACTGTCATCATGTTTTCCCCCTCTTGTTTTGTTATCTTCGTCGCTAGAGTCAGTCTGTCGGTTCGTCTTTTTTGTTCTTTTCCTTGGACGTCCATCTAGACAGTCATCCTTGGAACCATGGCTCTTTCTTTGTTTTTCCCGGCTTGTTCTTTCATCTTCGTCGCTAGAGTCAGTCTTTCGGTTGGTCTTCTTCGTTCTCTTCCTTGGACGTCCATCCAGACAGTCATCCTTGGAACCATGGCCCGTCTTTTGTTTGTCCCGGCTTGTTCTTTCATCTTCGTCGCTAGAGTCAGTCTTTCGTTTGGTCTTCTTGTGCCTCTTCGTTGAGGGTTCATCCAGACTGTCATCCTCGAAAACATGGCTATATCTACGTATGAAAATCATCAATTGACTCGACGTCAGTAGACGAACCGAAGGTAAGGGGTAACAATAAAATTAGGCAAGGTGTTTTCGGCATTAAGTAAGCGTTTAATCCTCAGACTGGTATTAATGTCATGATAATGTAAGGATCTACTGAACTCAGAAGGTTGCTCCTTCCCGTAAAGTTCGTCATTAAAAATGTTTATGAATCCGATCAAACAAATTTCCTTTTCCATGGGGCTTACTATTCCGGGAATGATTTGTCCCCGTGCATGAAATTATTTTGGAAGCGCGAAATCCATACGACATTATAATTCAAATTTTATGCAGTTCGAAATGTCTATAATAAAGAATGGTTCATAATTAATTACAAATATTTTGTAAGATATACATTTATATAATATATATAGATATCACAAATTGCAAGCGGTATGGAGCTCTGGCGAGATACAGCGTTAAAATACGTAGTAAAGGCGGAGTGGACTTCACAACATATAGAAACGCATTTCTGACGATTTGAAATAGGATTGAATGTTTCCTGCGTTCTTGGGAATGTTAAACAAGTTTGTGGACATTTGTAACATTCCTACGAACGCAGGAATCATATTATACTTTTTAACAAAGTCACCAATCTTTGCTTATCCCCATTGCGCTGTGTTACATTAACATGTTTTGTATGATTGTTTTATTTCTTTTCTGTCAAGTGCATGTCTATATATATGTATCAATATACAATATAAAGACCATGAATTCCAATGGTTCAATGGACTATAAACATAAACCTTTAGGTACCTTATGTGATATATAGAGCATTGTGCTCTGCTTCTTTTGATACCACATTCATGGTATGTTATTCCATAGTTTCAAAGAGTTTATTATAGTTAACATGGTCGAATGCCACTTACGCCAACTCAGGGGGACAAGGCGGATTAAATAACAAGTAGCGTTTATCAAACAAAATTATTGTTAAGGTTAAATTTCATGGATTCTCTCCCATTGAGGATGACCATGTGGTGCACAATGCCCGATTAAGCTATGTGCCCATCGAATCGCCACAGCAAAAACGTACCGAGAAGACTTGATGATATTCTGTTGACCTATGAAGGTATGTCTTGTTACACGACTCGAATTCGCTGCATCTACATGTACACCGACTAATGAATCTCGTTGCTTTTCCGAAGGAAGTTGATATCCTGTTGAAAAGGTAATTAAATGAATAGATGGGGATAAAGATGATGATGGCAACAAAACAAGAGCTATAACAATATGAAAGACAAGGGCAGTAATGATAATAAGTTAATGGAAAGTAAAGATCATAATTGTAAATGGAAGATTCTCACACACTATCATTTGAACTATTTTGGTCCCAACCTTTTAGTGCTCACGATGAGTTTCTTAAAAGACGAAGAATTAACAGTTCTAAGAGATATACCATTATTTTATCAACAATGCATTTCGGCATGGCAAAAATGTCAACCTGTAAATACGCCATATAATGAGGTCATTAATATTAGAATGCAGTCGTTATGGGGAAACACATACATAAAGACAAACAATTATGTTTATGGTGGAAACATTGACTAAAACCTGGAATATTATTTATTGGGGACATCTTAGACGCGACGGGGGATGTAGATATAAATCGGGAAAAAAAAATCACTTTGTATTAAACATAATTATTTATGTGAGGTTAAACTACTTTGGGAGTGCACACATGGTGACTTGAAAATTAAATTGAATGTGGAACCGTTTTTTGTTCGACTGAAAGCACACGTCTACATTATTTTGAATTAACACGAAAAGTATGCCATGATATAACAGTTACCAAAAAGAAGTGTCACAGATTATATATAAGGTATTATAACTTGTATAAATCCAAATTTTCGAATTTATTGGTAGTATTTTTTTTGTGGAAAAAAGTTATCCTGGGCTAATATATGGAAAATGAATTTGACATTCGTCGAGGAAGTACGATTAAAACAGTTTTATTTCAAATTACTTTATAAGTAATTAGCATGTGAAGAATATTTATATCGTATCGTCAAAATCTGATCATGATTATTGTTAGAAGTGCAAATGCACTGAAAATTATAATCATTTATTTTTAGTGATTGTGATTACTCACAAATATTTTGGAACAAGGTCTTAATTTTTCTCTGAAAAAAACAGATGTATCATTTGACAATGAACAAAAATTGATTACATGTGAGGTTAAATTACTTTGGAAATACATAATTGGTCTAACCCTAGAATCTCCTTCAAAGGCTCTGAAATGGGATTTATATTAGATTTAAAGACATGGTAAAACATAAGAGAGATTCCCAAATGTGAAGAGACTGTCCATAAACTTGCAGCAATATGGGTACCTTTGGCCTTTCAAAAAAAGGTAAAAGTATTGATGAATTGCCAGACGTTTAGTATTTCTTTTGCCATGGGAGGACTGGATGAAAGTTTATTCAAATTTACTTTATAAATTTGTTATGTTTTCATCGAGACATTAGCCTACCAGTATAGTTTGGGCGAGTCCAAAGAGTGTATAGAGTCGGGATTATACACTATTGTAATATGTGCAGGATGATGTAACTTTGTTTAGTGATCAAGTAGTATGATCATTTGGAATTACCAAAATAAAGATTACTTTAAGTGAACTATGAGCTATAAGAAAAGCGAAAGTAATGAATTGATGGCAAAAATATTCCCCAAACAGTGAAAACAGGGGCCATTTTATGAGAAAAATTACATGTTCTGGAGATTAATTTTCTGCCTTATGTTCCAATTAAACCATTCTTTTCCCTATTTCCCAGAATGTAATTGCCATGGCAATCTCCTCGTTCATGTGTTATTCTATTGTTTTCACAGTTTTACTAAATTCTGGCACAAATGGATTTTGATATGCCATATTCAAAACAATGTTGCTCACTATAGCGTATATGAATGAATGTTAAAAATGTATCATTTGAAAGCATATTACTTTTACTTTATCAAAAGCAAGGGGTTTTATCATGCAGCTTAGGGTTCGTTCGTAATAACCTTTTCATATTTTGTTTTCTTTAACGCACTGTACAATGTTGCCGAAACATGTTTATTAATATTAACAGTATTATCTCTTGACTAGTAAATATCCTCTTTATTTAAGACAAACAACGAAAAAATCCTACCTTGCCTGGTGGTGTACGTAGAATGCAATAATTGTTCAGGTGCAGCTTTGAATTTTGAACTAACATCGCTCGGGCCAGGATCAGAAAGTTGTCCGAAATCCCCTGTTTCAATCCATGCAGTGACTACTTCTTTGGAATAGTCTGTTTCATTAAGTTGTGGGGTATCTGCGTTCGCTGAAATAATTGAAGTCACACATAATATGCTTAATAGTTAATTAATACGATGTATAGACTTTGTTTTCATTTTGGAGACATCGATCAGAAGGATTTATACAACATCTAAGTAAATCCTTGTCATTTGATTGGAGAATTGTTGGTCACATGATATTCAATAGATATACTATTGCACGGGCGTGCATTTTTGGTACTATTCGCCGTAGTACTATTCAACGAGCGTGCATTTTTGGTTATATGCAGACTGCGTACCTCTTTGCTCATGTGTATCCCATCGTTATATTAGCTGCGCGCATCTGACGCGAAGGCAAAATGTAATCGCAAAGGCCTGACTCCAACTTAAATTTATCTTTAATATAAGGAGCAAAGCATAATTTGTTGAAAGATGTTGTATATAGCAAATAATGAATGTTTTTCATTCGTTCAATAGTGCAAATATTTTCATTCGTTGAAAGATTAACGTTAATTCTATTCAACTCGGCTAACGCCTCGTTGAATAGAAAGTTAATCTTTCAACTCATGAAAATATTCGCACTATTGAACTCAAAAACATTCATTATTTGTATAATATTATATTCACATGCAGCGAGTTTTCATTACCGTTTGTACCATAGTGATATTTAATAATAATTTAACGGGTTATTTACGCAATTTAAATATTTTCAGATGCATACATGATTACACCCACGCACACACACACACACACACATATATATATATATATATATACTAATATATGCGTGTGTGTGAGTGTGTATGCTTATATATATATTTATAAACAGGTTATTATGCGCATAAAGCTGTAATTAACTGACAGTGCACAACTGCAGGAGCTAGCGTAATATTTGTAGGCTGAAGTAGTTGAAGTTTTATGTATTACCTTGCAAGATAAATTCTTCTGCCGAGATATTAAGCTGAAGCAAATCTGGATTATCACTGTCCACAATCCTCGGTCGTCTGAAATATTAATTGACCAAGCAAAATTTGTTTTAGATAGTAAAAGAAATCAAACTCATCGTCAACCTGATTTGGCACAAAAAATGGATCACATAATATATTCGTATGAATAGAGCACCAAGAATCTTGCTACACAATTAGTCTAAAGGAGGCCACATGACAAATGATAAACTTCATATCTTGGCGGTTGTACTGATATTAAAAAACAATTATGCGACAATCTTTTTTCGCTGATACATACACGCTAATAGATAATTGCTCATTGGTATTGGTATTGGTATTTAATTTCCATATCACAATATTAAAAAACAATACAAAGAAAATACTATACAGAGGCGGCGGAAAATTGCATCTTATAAAGAGGACAAACCCAATCCTGATGGGCTTATAAGCACATTCTCATAAACAGAAGACTGAAAAGACCTTTGATAAGTAACATAATTATAACATCTATAAATGCGAGCGAGCGTAGCGAGCGAGCTTTGGGGGATATTGCTCTTAGTCGCTTGAAAGTAGGGGCACGTTTAATGATGAGAGGAAAAGGGGACACTTATCGAAAGGGATGACACTTATTAGAAAAGAAAAGGAGCACGCGTGAAATTACAACGGGTAATTATCGGAGGTGAAATGGGGCACTTCTTACACCTAAAAAAGGGGCACTCACCAGGGATGAAAAAGGCACTTATGAGAATGGGAGTTGGCATTTTTCGACGGAAAAGAGGCACCCATCATATTTTCATAGGGGCATTTATAAGAAGTGAAAAGGGTCATTTATAAAAAAGGGATATGTTCCTTATAAGAAAGGAAAAGGGGCACGTACCATTGTTAAAAGGGTTATTATCAGAGGTGAAAGGGGACACTTATCGCATCTGAAAGGGACACTTATGAGAATGAGAAAGGGGCACTAATAATAAAGGTAAATGTGCATTTGTTGAAAGAAAAGGGGCACCGATCAGATTTTAATAGGGGCATTTATCGCAGGTGAAAGGGGGATTTTATGAAAAGGGGAAGTGGCTCTTATTAAAAAGAAAAAGAGGCACATGTTAAAATAAACGGGGCACTTATCAGAGATGGAAAGAGGTAGTTATGAGAAGGGGAAGGGGCACTTATAAGAAGGAAAAAGAGCATTTATTAGGAAGGAAATGGGGCACGTGTCAATATAAGAGGGGCAGCTATTAGAGATGAAAAGACCACTTATCAGGAGGAAAAGGGGCACTTGTCAAAGTACAACAGGTATCTCCCAGGACTTAAGAGGGTAATATACCAGAGATGAAAAGGGGCACTTATGAGAATGAAAAGGGACTATTTTCATAGGTGAAAAGGGGCATTTATGAGAAGGGGTAGGGGCTCTTTTTGTATGATGGGGGCGCTTATCATAAGGAAAAAGGACACTTATTGGAAAGGAAAGCTAGGGGCACATGTGAACATATAATGTGCGCTTATCCGAGTTAAAAGTGGGTAGTTATTAAAAGGGGAAGGGGCATTTCTTACAAAGGAAAAGGGGCACTTGTCAAAGTAAAAGGGGTATCTCTCAGATTTGAATAGGGCGATTATCAGAGGTAAAGGGGGCGCTTATCAAAAGTGAAAAAGGGCGCTTCTCGTGCCTGAAAAGATGCACTCACTAGAGATTACAAAGGGCACTTTTCCCATGTAAAAAGGGGCATTTTGGGGGTACTTGAAAGAGTGGGGGGGGGGCACTGTAGGCATTGTAGCAAAAATGTTTCTTTCACCATATACACACATTGAATAGTTTTCATCACGAATCGTAGGCTTTTAAAAGAAATCGGAAATTAACCTTTAAAGCATTTAAGACAAATGAAAGTAACTAGAGGCCGAAGACTTTGATGGTGTACACACGACATCAACCCAAACTTGATACGTACAGGGAAATTTCGACTAAACATCTTGAAAAAAGGACTTTCATGGCAACGAATTGAGTAATAAAACACCACGTACTCTTAACTGCGAGTAACATTAAGGCCACAGAGGAATGTTTTAATGGGGGCTACCAAATTTCATGACTCTTTTCACACGCATGGAATGACAACCAAATGAAAGAAAATAAGAAAGACGAAATATCGATGTGATGAAGAAAAGAAGAGAAAAATAAAAACAACCGGATATTACTTTCGTCTAGGAGGTCTAGGAGTTGAGAGGGCCTGTAGTTTATTGCCACGTAGTGTCCACTGACCCATCGCTTCATCTAAAAAAAACACATAATAATTCTTTCAAATGTAAACGTCTAGCACATAACTTCAAAAATATACCTCACTACACCAAGGAAGGACAATATCAGTACCATTCCCAAATTACACTTGACGTGTTTTTGTATTACTCTTAATCTCATTTTATATCATGCGGTATCTTCGGGTATGTATCATGTTATAATTATACCAAAATTATCTTTTGGCTCTTACTTATTTATTTATTCCGTTTTATTTAAACAGGGTTTCCCGCCAGTACTCAATGTACTGTTTCCCAGGGGGCCCTGTAAACAAATGCAACATAACAATATGAAGATATAAACTACTCGAACAATATAAACAATATGAACATCATCGAAAACATCAATACATAGTAACATATAACAGAACATAAGTAAAGAATAAGGGTGAAAATAAACAAAGCAGTTGTAAGAATGATAATTTTCAATGAGCAATTAAAATCGATAAAAATTCTAAATCAGCGTATACACTGATTATTATCAATGATCTGTTCAGATTATAATATATTATAATATTGAGAAATGTATGTAAATATTCATGAAAGAGAGAAAGAAAGGCAAATCAATATTTAACATCACTGGTTAAAATATAGATAACAAAATGCATTCTTGGTCTGATAATTTCGCACTGAGTTGGGTAGGCTATTCCACAAATGAGCGCTATCAATTGAAAAGGCACGTTTTCCACATTCTGTTTTAATTCTTGGAATAATAGCACCCACATTTTCAGAATTCCTTGTTTTTTATTATCTATGAGTATGGGCGGATATAGGGTGAACATATCATATAAATATGACGGGGCACTATTATTCATAATATCATGCATTCATTTACTTTCTGGAACTCCCATTTTTCTCCATATAAATCCATTTCCGGGTACTGCATGAAAATTTCAGAGGTGGAAATCAATGTGTTTATTTTAAGGACAAATGTTGCCATCTGCTTGTCTTGCTTAATCAAGATATCTTTTGTTCTTTTACTGCAATTACTCCATGAGACACTACAATAGTTATATTATGGAAGGATAAGAGAATTGGCAAGTAGTCTGGCATTATCAATTGTAAAATATATTTCCTGACTCTACGGAGTAGGGCCAACCTAAGGGAGATCTTATTAAAAATGTATTTCACATGATCCTGCCAAGTCATGTGCTGGTCTACCAAACTCTCAGATATTTTACATTTTGAATTTGCTTGCTTGGTACATTAGAAACTTTTGTTTAGATTTGTGTGTATTGCAAGTTCAGCAATTTCTGCGGTGTTCCAACAATCATGCAGCATGGTTTGTCCGTATTCAGAGTTTTTAGATGATTTCTTTCCAACCACTATCTCACACAATCCAAATCATGATTAAGACATGTTTCGATTTCCATTGGATAAGGGATCAGACTGGGGTGGAGGAATCTCTCCCCTTCCTGTTACCACTTACCAAGAGACTGAAAGTGATCCTCGTCTTCTTCCACTCTGCTCACACTGTGAAGAAAAAAGTGCAATTCGAATTTAATTTCATATTCCTATAGCTTTCATTGTGATAAACCTTTACAAAGAGTTAATATATTGTTTACCTGAATATCTATTTTTTGTTGTATGATATGAAATAAAAGTTGTGGCGTTCCGGTTGTAATGTGAACAAAACTATTGAGAAAAGTAGATTTAGCATGTAAAAATAATTGAGTATCATGAAGTTTTGAGGGGGGGGGGGGCTTACGTGCTTAATGAGTCGCTTCTGATGATGGGAGTCCTTGTTGTCTTCTGACGCTGTCTCTTCTTCCTTTGATGAGTAATCTCTGTCAAGTGACCTCTTTCTCTCGGGATCTTGAAAAAATGAAATTCGCAAACATCAAATTCTGTAGAACTTTGCAGGCATTATGAATACGTCATGTGTGTCCTATCTGTGAAATTAAAACGTAAGCAGTGTCCTAATATTCAAATTATGCAAGGAAACCCGTTTACTTGCTAGACTTCACTGTCAGACACTATTGAGTGATCGACTGGTTTTTTTCTTCTTTGGTAATAACATACATAAAATGAGCTATAAAGGGTACATGAGCATTTGTCTACATAAATAGCCCACTTCTTATAATGGACGAACTGTTGTGACGTCATACCCTGGACACGGCTGTCTAGCTGCAAACTAATACACGCGCGACTCCGGTATGCGGCCGGTACCGAGCTGTTTGTCCAGGGTGTGACGTCACTATTCAGAGCTCGCTACGCTCGTGTGTTTGGCTTACGTTCGGGGCGCTTGGGGGTCTAAGAAGGGTCTTGAAAAAATGCATTTTACGCCTTTCCATGATATCTATATGATTTCTCAGCAAATTATTCGTGTTTTTCAAGAGAAAATCTTTCCATCCATATGTAATTTGTTCTAATTATCAGTTGTTAGTAAATTTTCTTTGTGTAGCTCCTTTAACGTAATTGTGATAAATGTAAAGAATAGCATCTGAGGGCTTGAATCGTAATCAATTTAAGTTGACTGCTTAAGTTGCAAATTCCGATCAGCTCGATTCGTGCCGGAAATTATGTGTCATAGCCAGAGGAGTCCTAAAGATATAGACAGACCCATTGGTGTTTTCGCACCAGACTCACTCACTGGCCACAATATAGAAATGAGAATTCCAACACAACCTGTTGAAGAGATAAGCTCACCTTGTACTCCCAACCTGGCCATGTCGGTGCGACACATAATTCTTCTAATTCTAATTCGCTTTCCACTTCCGTTTTAGATTGCATTTCTTCAAGAGAAAAGGAAACGAAAGGCGATCTAAAAATTGTACTCAACCAAATTTGTTGATTGAAGTCGATGAACACATGCAATTCAATTCAATTCTGGTTTATTGAAAATAAAAACATGCTGAATAAAAAGTCCGGAGACTCATACAATTCAGTTTACAAATTATATATACATACAAGAATATTTTTAAAAAAATCAATACTTTTAGCAATATTCATATCAATTACTTATTCTAATCAACTAAACAACTTATATCAAATAAGCGTAAAATAAAACATGTTAACCCCTATAAATCTTGACCCTCCCATTTGATTACGGAGCGCAAGGGGGAGACCTTCCCCGGTAGCACTACGCATGCAGAATGAGGGAAGGACCAACTTGTGAGAAAAAAGCTTTTGAACTTTTGAATTGCTAACAATCTAGCTATCGCAAATACCATGTTCAAACAGAAGAAGGCAAGTCGTGAATGGACATGGGAGTCACCAGATGGGAGGACCAAAAACAAAATAGACTTTATCATGGTGAACAACAAATGGAAATCAAGCGTCCAATGCGCTAAAAGTTTTCCAAGTGCTGATGTGGCCTCACATCACCAATTGGTTATCTGCAATTTCAAGCTACGATTCAAAACTAAACCCAATCAGAACAAAATGAAGAGATATGATTTGTCAAAACTGAAAGATGACACTACATCAAAAAACTATCAGGACATAATCGGATGGAAGTTTAGACCTTTGCTTGATCACTTTGACACCCATGTTGACATAGATAGCTCGGCAAAGGATGTTCTGGGAATGAAAAAGAATAGACCGCAGGAAGCACGGATCTCACAACAAGTGCTAGATATCAGCGAAGAACGCAGCAAAATTAAACAAGCCAAACAAGATGACCCTTCACTGAAACCAAGGTACAACTTTCTGAATAGAGAGATAAAGAGGAAGATTAGGGGCTGTAAAGATGCGTGGCTCCAAGACCTTTGCAGTAGAGTAGAAAATGCACACCAAGCTTTGTGATTTCCCTTTGTAGGTGCCCTTTTTGTTGATGCCCCCCCCCTTGGAAGTTGCTCGGCCGCCCCTGAATGGGTATATGTTATATGATACCATCATTTAGTAAAGTAAATGTTTTTGATAGTATGTATCAGGGTAGCTTACCGTGTCGCGGAAAGGGATCCTCTTCCTCTAGCCCCGTTCTGAAACTGAACAGCGAGAATTGCATCAAATTTGATATTCCCCTGGCATTAATTGTTATTTGTATGATATAAGCTTCAATAAAGTATATGTTGACACAATGACTGCCAGTTTTCGTTATAATAAAAGATGGTTTGCAAAAGTTTGCACTGCATTTGTCATGTGTACAGTGGTCAACGTTTTTAGTTTTAAAATGCTACATCCACATATTAAAAAAAAACTATTTAATGGATTTATAACAGAGAGTCAATCTTTTGCAAATTATGGTAGTAAAAGGTCCTGCCATTCATAACACCTTTGTATGGATGTATCCTGATTTAGAACCAACCTGTTCAAATAAATATTATTCTTAAATATCATTTTGCATTCATTGAACATTATTTTCACCATACAAAGTCATCGTTTTTCCATTTTCGGGCAGTCCCCTAATGCTACCATACCTGCATGACGTGTCACCGCCCGTGGTAGGTGTCCTGGTTAGCTTCCTTGGACCTATTTTCTCCAATAGCCCTATTTTTTCTGTGACCTTTTAAGAGCGAAAAAAAAAAAAACGAGATCGTCTGTAAGCTGGCAGATAATCATATTAATCATCGCTGTAATGGGTAGTCCCAGTGAAATAAAGAAATACATATTTTGATGAAAAGAAATGGGTGGGGGCTTTAGCCTTCTTGATATTAAATTGATGGACCAACATCAGATTCGGCTTTCCCGTACTTGTAAATTCTGCAATTATAGAAATTTAATTAGACATTGCGCTCGAATGGCAACCGGTAAATCTCCGGTAAAGGGGTACTTTTCGCGTGACAAAGTCCGGCCTCAGTGAGAATTGTAAAAAAAAGGGGGTGTATATGACTTTTCACCCGGATATTTCTTTAAAAAGGGGGTGTGTTTTTTCTTCTCTCTCTCTTTGGATTCCTGAGAAATGTAAAAAAGGGGGTTATAGAATATTTAAAAAGGGGTGTGTAAACAACTACAATTTTCTTCGTGCGCGCGTTAATATGCATATAAATCGGAAACGCGCGCTGCTGTACGCGCTGGGTAACGAGCGCATAAACTGGTTAACAGGTGAACTCACCTTACTCTCCGAATCTCGCACTTTCGGCGTGGTCCTCGGTTCTTCTTGATGTAACTCCTCGGCCATGTCTACGAGGCCATCCACATTGGCTTTATATTCATTTTCTTGAAAGAGAGGGAAAATGGGAACGCGAATTAACGGTGCAAATTAGCCATACCGATCAATGCGAGTTTCTGAATAGACTAAATTTAAACATGGTAGCGATTAAACGTTTCCCTTTAGTCTGTATAATATCTCAAATGACCTTTTTCTTTACTTTTCTTTGCCTATCTGACTGGTTTGGAGTTTGATGTTTAGAGTTTGAAGTTTATTTGTTCCACAGTTCCATCAAAAGCATGCTGCTGCCTTCAGGTATGGCGACCTAGCTGTTACGACATTTGTCAACCAATAGAACTAAAGCAACAATTTGAAGTCTCTTATCGCGATCTTATCGCCAGTAGGCCTACATCTCTAGCCCTCTATCATCAGAAGAGCTCCCTACGCAGTTCCTGGAAGCACATGTCCTTTTCAGGACAAGCTGGCTGACACCTCGACCTGCGTATTCCAACTCAACGCTGGAAGCCTTACCCGCTCTAAGCTTGACCTGATTCCCATATTGCAAAGGAAAATTGTATCAATGTTATCTGTCTCCAAGAAACACACTGTGAGACAAAAGAACAGCTTCACATCGAAAGTTTTGATCTGATCTGCTTCATACCACACGAGAAGCATGGTAATGCATCCTACGTCAAACAAGGCATGAAAGCATCCACCACTGGGCGATCTCCTGCGAACTCAGCTCTACAGTGGAGCACCTTTAAAGCTATGGGAACTCACTTCTGCAATCTGTATAAGCCACCACCGGTAGATGTTGAAATCATGCTCTTCCCAAAGATGCCCCGGAACTCCTTTGTCTGCGGAGATTTCAACGGTCGCAGCACTGCCTGGGGATACCCTAACATCAACCAGAATGGAAAGCTCATTTTTGAATGGCTTGAATCTTAGGAGCTAGTGATACTGTATAACAGCAAGGACAACCCCACATTCTACTCAGGGAGCCACAAATCATGGAATTGCCCCGATCTGTCACTGGTTTCATCCAACATCAAACACACCTGCTCAAGAATTGTCCATCCAAAGTTCCCAATTAAAGGTCGGACTTTCCAATCATCAGCTCAAGCGACATCAAGCTTCACCTCTCCAACCTACCAAAGAAGAGATGGAATTTCAGAAAAGCTTACTGGCCCAAGTTCCAGGAACTCACAAACAAGCTAACATCTCGACTGCCAGACCCCTCCACCAACAATGTGAATGACTCCTATTCTGCTTTCTGCTTCATGTTACATCAGGCGACAAAACTCCCCATCCCCGGGGGCAGGAGACACCCGTATATGACATACTTGGACGAAGAATGCGACCGTCTGTATGCATCCTACACTAAGTCCAAAACCATTGAAAGAAGAGAAGCTGTAGGGAACGACCTGCTGATATTACTAAGAGAAAAGAGGAAGATTAGATGGGAAGAAAAAAGTCTCTGAGATCAACTTTACCCACTCTAGGCGCAAGGCCTGGACTACCATCAACAAACTCACTGGTCGAAGCAGTGCTCCGAAACAATGTCCTGTTACTGCAAACTCCACCGCTTCAGTCCCTAGTTAACAATAGAAAGTGGCAAGATAAAACCACTGAGGCCAAAATCCACTCTCGCTCAGTGAACTCTGATAAAGAACCTCCTCAATTCCACTCCAGAGTCAAACTCCATGTCTGAAGCCTCCACCTTGGATGAGTATGAAACTGCACTGAAATCAATAAAGTCCGGCAAATCAATGATAATGTAGTGGTAAGCCGATTTGGGCTGGGTTGATTAATTGTACGGTTATTGGTTTGACTTGGTAAACATCTAAATGTTAAATAGCATTAATTATGTTCCCAATAGTATGCCGGGAGCTGGTAAACAACCCCTGTTTTTGAATTCCTGCATTAGATTAAAGTGTTCATTTCGATAAGCGCGTTGGAAATTAATTCCTGCATTAAGATGTACAGGTGTTCATTTCCGATAAACACGTTAGACAATAAACTGTTTTTCCGGGGACCTGACATTCTCGCGAAGAGATAGACTCCTCTCAATTTTGGCGGTGACTAGTTCAAATCACTCTTATTTGTTATGCTTTGTCATGGGTTATAATTAATTAAATGTATAACTCCTCTCTCAATTGGTCGGATGACCTAAGGGTAATTTTATATGTCTAATCTTGTAATTGGTTGTCTTCGTAAGGGTCCTCCTGGTTGGCTGGTAATATCATGTGGTATCTAAGCCTCGTCGGGTGCCGGAGTATTTAAATGCCATGTGCGGAATTTTGAGGTCAGTTTTTTAGTTGAGTTTATTTAAGTTTTATTTCATTCTGTTACCATGTTTAGAATGTGCTGCTAGTTTATTGTCAATAGGGCCACCCAGCCTCTGAGAGAAGCAGCTTATTTGAAATGTTCTAAAGTAATTAATCTTCGTTTGTAACTACTGGAGCTTCGGCTGACTTTTATTATTACTAAAGTGGACTTCAACTGTATATCCGAGCTTCTTTTGTTTTTCATTTTGTTTTGAACTTGTCGTCACCGACTCATTAACGGGCCCACCACAATAACATCCACGCAGAGTTCCTCAAGAACATGAGTCACAAAGCTTTTTCCTGGCTCCAACCTTTCTCTCTACCTGCATGATAATATCCACTATTTCATCGAAATTGAAGTTGAAGCTAAAGTTATTGCCATTCTGAAGCCCAAGAGCTATCGTCCAATCAGCCTGCTATCTCACATCTACAAGCTACTTGAAAGGCTGCTACTTGCCGGAATCGTCGACACTGTCGAATAGAAGCTACCTACTACACAGGCAGGTTTCAGGAAAGGTAAATCAACCACCGACCAAGTGGTCCGGTTTGTCAACGACATAGAGACGGCCTTCCAGAAGAAGAAGAAGTTTGGTGCAGTTCTTGTCGACTTTACTGCTGCATTTGACACAGTATGGGCACCGTGGTTTATACCTCAAGACCCTGCAGACCATTCCATAATAAGAATTTTCATATTTATCATGCTGTTTGTACAGAACCGTTTATTTGTTCTTGAAACATCACACGGCGAATGCAGCAGAAAGAGGAGACACCGCAATGGTGTGCCGCAAGGCTCTGTCCTCGCCCCGATACTTGTCAACATCTATGTCTCTGATATGCCCAAGGGGGAATGCATGCATTACTCCTATGCAGACGACACCGAACTGGGGTTCGTCAACGATTCCTCCGAGGCATTCGAAACATCACTGGAGAAGGACCTGAGCATGCCAGCCGAGTTCTTCAACAGATGGCATCTCAAGATGAGCATACCGAAGACTGTATCCTCCGTCTTCCATCTGGCAAACCGATGCGCCAACCGAAAGTTGATTGTCTCACTAAATGGGTCTAGGCTGAATTTCAACCCCACGCCAAAGTACCTAGGTGTCATTCTTGATCGGAGCCTCACCTTCCACGAGCATGCCAAAGCCACAGCTCAAATGACCCAAGCCAGAGTGTCTCTCCTAAAGAAGCTTGCAGGGACCGGATGGGGAGCTGATTTCACCACCCTTCGCACCTCCACTCTAGTTTTTGCCTTTTCCACCGCCGAGTATGCCGCATTTGCATGGAGCCACAGCACCCGTGTACAAAAGGTTGATGTTGGCCTCAATGATGCTATGAGACTAATCAGCGGAACACTCACTGCAACACCTGTCAGCAACCTCCCAATACTGTCTAGCATACCACTAGTTCAGCTCAGACGAGATGCGCAGTACAATAAGCTTGCCCAAAAGCATGACAGAGATAAATGCTTTGTTCCTGTCCCCTCTGCCTTTGAAGGACAACGTCTCTCTAGGAGACACTTTGCAACACAGGCTGCTGAGCTGCCGCTTGAGAAGCCCCCCCCTCAACTTATCCACCTGGATAGCAAAACGCTGGTCAGACCTGTTCATCCTAGAGCCCTGTGCAAAACCAAGTGGCAGCGACTTCTCAAGAGAAGCCTGGGTCAACCTCAACCGTATCAGAACTGGGGTTAGCCGTACACAATACTTCCTGCATAAAATTGTAGCTGATCCATCGCCAAACTGTGCCTTTGGAGAGATCCAAGCTATGGATCATGTCATCGATGCTTGTCCTATCTACAAATCCCCTCACGGTGCTTCTGGAATTCGAGAGCTCGATGATGAGACATTTAGTTGGCTAAATAAGGATCTTCCTATTTAGATGATGTACTCCTTTATATTCTTCGTACGAACGAATGATCACAAGCAATTCATTAAAAAAAAATCAAGTATACGGTAAATGGGGAAGTAAAGATAAGAATGGGTGTTTTTGTTAAAAAAATATGTGGAGCCTGGATATAAAGCATGGCTTATGCATGATGGGCTTCTCTAAAGAGTTGCATTATTAAGCCTCATTAACATTTAGTAAGAGGCGAAAAGGGGAAAAGTACCAAATTAAACATTTAAGAGTAAAAGGGAAAAAGAAAACAAATCTCGGAGTAGAGAAACAAAAGAAGAAAAATATGGAAAAGAAGATGAAGAAGACGAAGAAAAAGAAGAAAAGATTGTTTTAATAGATTACAATTGTGTTTCAGTTTTGGTTTAGCTCTATATTTCACAGAGCACTTCCAGTTCGATTTGAGTGATTACCTGCTCTTGGTTCTTGTTTCATAAAGCGATCTGAATCATCCGAGTCGTTCACGGACTTCCACACTTCTCTCAGATGATCGTCTGCGAAGGAGACGGAATGCTGCAAGCATTTCCAATAGCGGATCATTACGAAAGCAGCTTTTTGATTTGGGGTATAAACCCCCGCCTCCTCATCTTTTCTGCTTTTGTGCTGGATGCTGTCAAGTGTCTGGTAGGACAAACCCAATGCTAGACCAAGATGGTAGTACTGATCAGTGTTCATCTCTTTTGTAATGAATTCCTCACTTCGAATGTTTTCAGCGTTGCTATTATTGGAAATAATGGAGAAGAGAGAAAAAATGCCGTTATTTCACTGATTAGTAAAACTAAATAATTTCATTACCTAGCATCCCAGTCA